CAGAAAATTATTATGTACATGAAACACAATTGCGTCCACAAATATCAAAATTGTATGTATATGATATATAATATTGGTAAAAAATATAACTTTCGATACTCTATTATTAGTAGATACAAAATTTAGAAGAAGATATTATGTATATGATATTTCATTGCTTCAAATGATTCCTTTTTTACTTGTTGTCTCTTTTAACTTTGGCACACATCGTTACAAAGATATTAAGTATCAAATACACAAAATTGATACTAAAATTACTCTAACTTTTTTTTAAGCTGATATTAAATTTCCAAAAAATTATTATGTACATGAAACACAATTGCATCCACAAATATTAAAATTGTATGTATATGATAAATAATATTGTTACAAAAATACAACTTTCGATACTGTATTATTAGTAGATACAAAATTTAGAAGAAGATATTATGTATATGATATATAATTGCTTCAAATGATACCTTTTTTACATGTCTACAATTCCATAAGCTAACGGCAATATACAACCTTAACATTGAAACACACAACATTATGATTCTTTATACATAATTGTTGCAGGATATTATATTACTATCTTAAAAAATTAAATTAATAAACAACATGACATACATGCCCCATCGGGTGTACTTGCCGATACAAATGTCCCTCTATAAGCTCTGCTAATATGTAAAGCATCAACAACAACAACAGGCCTACATAACTCAAACCCTCTTATCATTGGCCTTAATGATATGGAGAGATACATAAACTCATTTTTTTGGGCCTTGTGCATCCGTATATATGAATTTGGATACACAGTTTCCAACATATATATGTATGTTGGCATCTGTTTATATCCATCTGCATGTCTACCCCTTATCATCTCCAATGCACATTCTTTAGCACGCCATGCTTGTTGGTAAGAAATTTCAACTCCATATAGTGACCTAACATCATCAATTATATCGTTTGGAGTATGTTTTCTTTTATGATTCACTAACTTTGGAGCTGTCACACCACTAACAAACCCAACAATATCATGTACCTTACTTAATACCCTATCCCTCAATGAACATGTATGTTCACTATTGAGGTATCTCACTTTAAATATGTCCGTATTTTTCCTAACAGACGCCTTCAAATTCCAACAACAATCATCTGAATAACATACTAATACGTAGCTGCAATTATACCATACATATTTATTATTTGATCAGGTTTAATGTATCAATTCATAATATCAAAAATAAAATAACAGTACAACATACATTATTACAAATACTTTTAGTTAAATAATAATGTGCACACATATTAATATACCACACAGTTTGATGACGACTCAGTTTATATTGTTGATATACAAATCAGATAACAAATTCAAAATCCACTTATTAACCTGATTTCACTTATCCTTCTTAATTGATACTTTAATAAACAGAGGTAACTCAAAATGCACGTGATACTTTATTGTATCCAATGAACACAATACGCACACCTATCCTTCTTAATTAATACATTAACAACCAGAAGTAACTCAAAATGAACATGATACCTAACACCTACAATTGCACGTAACACATGTTATTTGTGTATCATGATCAACATAATAGCAAATAAATTATAAAAAATGAAGAATGTTATAAGATTGAAGTATCACATACCTTTTGCTATCAGATCTCTTAACTCTAAAATTGAAGCTATGCTTAATTTTATATTTTTCCATAACAGCCATTAGAGTTGCCTTATCCTTGTACAATTGCTTCACTTCCACATTAGAAACATTTGTATCTGATATATAATTTTCCACCTCCATTTTTGGTATGTAATAGGAATCACAAATTTTCGATGCAACAATGCTTAGAGCCTTTGCATCCCTTTTTCCACCTTCAACACACACAATTGCACCTATTGTTGCATCAAAATTTTGTATCTCTTCATCACTTTTATCCGATGTATCAATGTATAGTGGATACATACCGAATCCTACCTCATGTTTCTTCACCTCTATGTACAATTTCACCCCTATATCATTCCGAATACACAATGGAGATGAATTACCTTCTACGAAGTATCTGATCTCCATATTTTTTTTTTGATTCATCAACATTCTATTCTGCTACAGTTGCTGAATTAAGATTAACGAACGAAATATTTTCCCCAACCACTATGCCATCACTTTTGTACCGCTCGTATCTAACATCACTTTCCCATATTCTTGAATGCCTTAGCAAGATGGAAATATTCATTACAAATCTTCACCAAAAAATGCGCTACAATTTTTTTTGAATCAGCCTTCCATAGCTTTTGGCAAAACAGGAAGAGAGAATTTCAAAATTTGAAATTTGAAATATTAGTTTAGTAATTGTTTTATGAATGACTGATTTGTAGATGAAAGAAACGTATGCGTGAATTGTGGCAGTCAATTTTTATTTATGTTTTAAATCCCTTATTTAACGCACTAAACTGATAAAATCTCTTTTTTAATGCAATAAACTGATAATTACAGCTTCTAAATTAAAGTATCCGCCCGCATATTAAAGTATCCGCAAGACAATAAAATAAAGAGAGTTTTGTAATGTCTGAAAGAGTAGGGATAGGAAGTAATTTGTTTACAGTATTATACTAGCTTTGTATAATTTTTACTTTTTATTTTCATAATAACAAATAACTTTCATCGGGCGTAAAGTTTATATTTTTAAGTCATAACATCCTATTTCACGACTTAAGAACTTATGTCCTCTAAGCATAAGTTGGGATAAGGTTGTTCACGGATCAGTTTGGATAGGTTATTGGTCAAAACCAAAATCAAATCAACTTAATCGGTTTTAAAATTATCAAAATCGAATCGAACCAAATATAATATATATTTATTGGTTTGATGGTTATTGGTTTCGGTTTGGGTTGGTTCCATTGTTAACCATACACAATAAAAGAAACAATTCATTCAAAATGTGAAAAAAGTGACAACGACAATCCATTCAAAATGAAATATAATTAGAATGACTGAAATTCTAAATTTTTGATCATTGAATTTACTGTGAATAAAGCTTTAAAATTCACTATATTTGCCTAGAAGGAAGAGGCAGTAACATTTTCCGTCACACAAAGAATTGTCATAGATACTCATATACATGAAATTAATAAGATAATGTTTTCACCTTGAACATTTTTGCTTTCAATAAGTAAATTATAAAGAAATATTAATGAAAACATATATAAGATTTTAAAATTTGTTTATAAAAATAATATATTATGTATGTATATTAATAAAATATATGTATATAATTCATCGGTTGGGTTCAGTTATTTCTTCGTTTTTTCGAATAAAATCATAACCGAATCAAATACTATCAATTTTCAAAAATCTAGAATCAAATCAAACCAATTCCAAATAAATCGGCTTTATTTTATCGATTTGGTTCAATTTTTATCCAAACCGTGAAGACTCCTAGTTGGGAGTATTACTAGAAATTAAAGATGAACTTTTTTGTCTAAGATGATAACTCTTGAGAGACTTTTCCAATATAATTATTCCCCACTACTGTAAGATTGAACAATCCAACCACCTTTTCCATTGTATTTACTTCCATGAGTAGTGACACATTAAATTTCATTGACTCAGCAAGCCATTAAATGATTCATTACAAATATATAAAGAACTTTATCCTGCACAAGTTCTTCACAACCAAAACAATCCGTTAGCCTTTGATGTGAGGCCAAAAATACATATTTTTAATGACTATTTGCCTGAAATTTATTATTTATATTTGTCCTTTATGAGCATGAATTTTATGGATTGTGCTTAATAGTGTATTTTATTTGTAGGATTAAATTGTATTTAAACTCTAGTTATTTATGAAAATTTCTTAATAAAAATTTGCAAATTCTGCGCTACCTGACCCGCAAAAATGATACAATATTGTGCTGGTCTTTAATTTTTTCATCTCATAACTAATAAATTTTGCGTATCACAAAAAATTAAACTGAAACAAACTGTATGTGTGTATTTGTTTTAGAGGTGATATAATGTGTATCAATGTTTTAGTTTCAAAGCTAATATGTGTATTTGTGATTGCAAAAGAGAGAGGAAATAACTTTGGCGGAGCTCCCACTGCATGACATAACAAGAACTTATGTCCATTAAGCATAAGTTCGATTATTGAAGAATAATACTTAAAGATCAGCCTATTTGAAAGGCAAGTTGGGCAATTTCTTCCTATTGCATGTCCACTAGCTCGTCAATTACGAAATGACCTTTGAATATATTTTGGATTATTGCTCCCAATATATTTCCACAACTATAAGCTTAGGTCACAATAGAGACAGCCTTTTAATTCATTGGTATATACTTACATGAACAGTGACACAT